CCCGAGCCAGGGTGCTCAGCCTCCGGGGCTGTAAGGCACAACCAGCTGGTTAGATTTTTATTTTTTTTTTTAACCCATGCACCCAGGTGCTCGCACAGGATGGCAAGCTGAGGCACCGAGACCCGGTCCTGCCGCGCCGGCGCTCGGCTCTGCTTTCCAAAGGTGGTGAGTGAGGCTGCTGGCAGCACCGGCGCACGAGGGCTGGGCGGGCTTCGGATGAAAAAATGATGTCTGGCTTTGCTGGACACAAGTCCAAAGGGGTTTTGGTTTAAAACTAAAAGAGGGGAGATTTAGATTTGATATTGGGAAGAAATTCTTCCCCATGAGGTTGGTGAAACCCTGGCCCAGGTTGCCCAGAGAAGCTGTGGCTGCCCCCTCCCTGGCAGTGCTCAAGGCCAGGTTGGATGGAGCTCTGAGCACCCTGGTCTGGTGGAAGATGTCCCTGCTGATGGCAGAGGGGTTGGAACCAGATGAGCTTTAAGGTCCCTTCTAACCCAAACCAGTCTATGATTCTATCATTCTGTTCCATAAAATGGTTGGAACCCATCCCCGCGGTCCACCCCTCCACGCACAGGCAGGCTGCTCCTCTCCCTGCCCGCGGTGCCGAAGCTCTCCTTGAACGGGATCCCACCAGGGATGGAGCAGGATTCCAGTGCCCTCCCCATCCATCAGCTGAGTCCTCTAGGCTGCAGGGTTTACATGGAATTCGTGCAGCTTTCCTCTAAGCCCGGAATTTTTTTCTCCAAGTGGGCCAAGCCTGGAGATCTTCTCTTAGGGGGAACAACGCCAGTGACCCCAGGGAGGACATATGGTCCTTGTTAGAGGCAAGACGCCCCAGATAAACATGGAAGCAGCAGGAAGAAAACAAACACTTTCCAAGAAACAGCCAGACGGCACCAAGTCCTGGTTCTGAGCTCAGAAGGGGGAGAAAAGAAAAAAAAAAACCTGGCAATTTTCCTATTATTGCAAAAATATCGCATCGGAGGCAAACTGTCAGCTGAGGAGGCTGAAGCCCCAGATGGGTGCTTAAGGCTCCATTAGCTGTCAGGAAAATGAGCTTCAGAAGATGCCAAAACCCCTTCCCGAGCTGTGACACGCAACGGCAGAATGGAGTGGGAGGCTGGGAGAAGCCTCGGAGCAACCACGCGGCGGGGTGTCTACTGCTCGGAAGAAGGTCTCCAGATGAGCAGGCTGCAGCCTCCGTAAGCTGCTCGGATGGACCGGCCGAGGGTTTGGCCCTCAGCTCCATTTTTCAACCTGATTTTGGTGGACTACATGGAGGGCTGAACGCACCAGGGGTCCCATCCAGCCCTCGGGAAGGCAACCGGATGGTTCCCACCGTCAGACTGGTCCGTGTGCTTCCACGCTCTGCTGGGTCAGGTCTGCAGGGCTGGGAGGGGGCTTACAGCAGGTCCTGGGACGTGCGGTTTTCTGGCCCACCCGCGTGCAGGTTTAGTCTGGGAGCATCACCTCAAACACCTTCCCCTCCACCACAGCCCTTGCTTCGGCCGGGGCTGCGGGTGCCCCGCCACCGGCATGGTGACTGCGCGGCCTCCCCGCCGCGCC